AAACCATCTTCATGAAGCCTGATAAAAATTTCATTTCCAAAACCACAAAACACTATAGCTTTTTTTTTTTTTTTTGGGTTTTGAGCAAACTACACAAATCTTGCTCATCAACATGCTTTATTAGACATTGTCATCCTGATCTGCAGTATAGAATAAACTAGTGTCATAGGTAAAATCACTAGAGGACATTCAAAAAGAACTTTCACATAATATTTGAAACTTAGGTCTCTTGAAGGCTCTATTTTGACATCTAAGCTCCATAAGGAGATTGATTAAGTATAATCATTAGAGCGTCCACAGATTCTGAAAACTTAAATAGTTACAAGAGATAGAGAGAGAGAGAGAGAGAGAGAGAGAGAGAGAGAGAGAGAGAGAGAGAGCACTTCAAGTAGTAAATCAAAGAAACATAGTAGACCAATTACATAAGGAAGAGCAAAGGACAAAGCTATCAAAAGTACAAGAATATAGGCCTATGACCAAGCCTATATTTAGATTTATTTTAATATAGTTTTTTATTTATTTGCATTCTTATTTTCTACCTTGGAACCACATTTTGGACAACCTATTGACTTATGTTGCATGGAAATTGAATTGTTTCAAAGCATGTTGGAACCACTGCGAGTATTTAATGGTTGGCACCATATTTTTCTTCCAAATTTCCATCCCTTTATTTTGAATGCTAGTAGTTCAAGTTTCATTTTATTAAATAAAAATAGTAGAAAAATTTAATAAATTTCCATTATTGAATGATGTTTTTCTATAAGGAAATAATCTTTATTTTCTAGTTGCTTGGTGGCCATAAGAGTTGGTCTTTTCTTTGTTAAAATAAGGTGGTTAACTTTAATAATATTAACTTTATTACTCTCACTTAAAACCATGTCTAATCCATCCTTGCATAATCAACTTTATCTAAGAATCTTCTATGACTAGCCATCACCCAACCTAAATCTCACAACTAGTCTAAATTCCCAGCTATAGCTCTTAGCCAAGCTAGGCAAGATTAGGTTATTGTATGGTTTCCTATTGCTTAAATTAAATCCATCTAAAGTCTAGCAAAAAAAAAAAAAAAAAACCATCTATGTCATATATCCCAATCAAACATCAAAATATGACCTTTTAAAAAATTTTATAGCTATTTACCAAACTTACAAATCATTTTCTAAAAGAATCTTTCAAATTAGCCTGAACTAGCATAATTTAGACTTTCCTTAACATTCCCACCATCGTATTGCTCCTTAAAACCACCCAAAATTCCACTACAAGCTTCAAAGCCCATATACAAACATTATTATAAGGACTTTCAGCTTCTTTGTCCCTTAATCTCTACAAAAGGTCACCCACATCATCATATTTTGTATTAGAGCAAATATGCGATTGATCAAATCTAGTGAAAACATTTAAATAACCAAAGAGAATTTTCTTATGATGGATATGCCTTTAAAACCTTGTGGGTAAATCTAATAAGTTTAAGGTTAGCACATATTTTTTATGATAGAATTATTTAATATTAATAATTTGTATTTCTTGTGAGCTCCAATGTGGTGTAAAATCTGAATAGTGAGTTCCATCATAAAGTCTATCCATTGTCCATGTGTGAACCTATATTTAAACTTATTTCTCAATTAAAAAACATGCTAGGAACTTTAATCTGACACAAAATAAAACCTTAAATGACTTGCTTTAAATTTTGTGATGACTGTCTTTAGTAAAATTAATAGTTTCTATATCAAAACTAAAAATAATTTGCATTCCTATGGACTCAAGGCTTATATATTTAGCAATGTTTTTGTGCATCTAAAATTACATGCATAATCTTGTGTACAAAACATGCCAAATTTGAAAATAAAAATATTTTATCAAAAATATCTAAATTATTTATGAATAACTTGATCTATAAGAGATTTGTAAATTTGATCATCTAGAAGGTCATTTAACCTCAAATTCATTTTATTTTTATAGTTAAATATTAAGTTTCAACATCTCTCTTAAATATCCCTTTACCACTTATATCTTTATTTATATATATTTAAAATTATATCATGGCAACTAAATTATTTTTCTATGATTTGATTAAAATTATTGACTTGAATAGTTAGTACCTTTGACCTAGATATTCATAATACTACTATATGAAAGAACTATTATAAGAGAAAATAAGTGAAAAGTATGAATTGAAAGCCTAAATTGGGCTGCTACGTACATTGCTGGGGTGGTAGCAACCCCTTTCTTCCACCTAAAACTCTGATGGGCTAGCTAGCGTTAATACTGAGTAATAATTTAGGATATCTAGCAGAGTAACTTCTCGTCACTAGTATGAACCTTGCCCTACACCGAGCAGATAATGCTCCTAATTCTTTAAGAGAGGACTCTAGTAGCATTGTTCTTAAAGAATTTGATCTGTGGAAGGATAGTAAAAATAAGAGGGGTCACCTTAATTTGAACAACGACTTCCTCCTCATCACCACTATATACTAATATGGAGAAGCATCCTCCCAAAATTGTGTGAATCTCTAGGGCAATGATCACCTCGGGAACCTACAAAACTGGTGGTCGGTATAGTTCCCGCTACATGGGAACCATCCTCTACTATGCTGGATTCATATGAGTAAAAAAATATGTCATCTATTGTATTGCTGTCTCAAACTCTACTAAGTGAAACCTTCTATTCCTACTCCTTTGTGCCCTTCTCCCAATGGTAAAAGTAGAGGAAGACACAACAGTAGAACCAGTTGACTGAATATCTAGCTAGAATAACAGAAGCTATTAGAGTGTACTGAGGTATACCCAGTGGTATCAAAGTGAGAGAATCGGGCAAAAATAGAAACCCAACGAGTAGAGGAAGGGGTAGGGAGCTTGGCCTTGGCATCCCTTCTCCTTGAGGAGGAAGGAGGAGGGGAGACTAAAGCACGAGTAGTCTACAATGGAGTAAAAGGCAACAAAATTGTTGACTACTGATGCTGAGGGGCAGCTGTCTGAATTGCTAGTACTATAGGCATAGGTTCACTGACTTCTGGGCATAGAGGCTGGGTAGGCAGTGGCCTAGGCACAAGCTACCTAGCCACGAGGTGCACTAGATGCGCAAGAATAAAAATTGGATGAGTGGTTGCTCGTATTGACTACCAGATAATTGATGGCAAAAGGGGCACATGAATGCATGACCTCTCCTTTATGGGGGAGAAAAGGTAGCAATTTTTGAGGGGGTTGGCCCACCAAAAGTGATGTAGGCTGAATTCAAAAATGAATCAAAAGCAATACCCCCCTCAAAGAGGTTGGCCAGCGAGGACTCTTGGAGAGTCACCTTGGAGTTCAGGTCAAAGAAAAGGTAACTGAATGGCCTATCTACAAAATTACTTTAATAAGCCTTTCTAGTAAGAGAGAGATACTCTTATACTTCTTTCATTTCATATAGAAAGGTTCTTTTTGGTTTATTGTATATTAGATGTAGGTCATAAGATCAAATCTCTTAAATCTCTCTATCTATTTATCATTTCAGTGTGTCAACTTGATGCCTTCTTATAGAGTATCGTGAGTATAATCCTTTCTAATTCATTATATTCTCTAAACTTAGAACAACCAAATTTCACTTATCTTAGATGGAAAATGATTTTATATAACTCACACCAATCACCTCAAAAAAAAAAAAAAAATGCAAATTGTTTTAACCATTATGGATAAGAATGCATAATATTTAAGTATTCTTTTATATGTAGTCCATAATACCTAATCAAATTTATTTATAGCTCATTTTGTCATTTTATTATTTATTGAATATTGTATTTTTTTTTAATTTTAGAATTATGGAGAATTTTGGAGCACGCACTTCTTATAAAAGTCCAAATTTCATAACTAGTGCTCTTCAAGTCTTCATGCTTTACCAACTCATATCAATCACTACCAATTAATCATTAGACTTTTTATTTTCTAGTGGATTCAACTCGTTAATGTCCTATTTTGTTAGAGAACTTCTACCATAATTTGATGTTCACCTATTACCAATATTAAATGCTTATCATCCAACATATAACCCATGTCTTCTGATGTATCCCATCTTGTGATACTTGCCATTGCCATCTCCTATCATGCAACTTTAACTTCCAGACATCTTCCATTATCTAACACCGTTCATTGCTTTATATCTAATGCACATCGTCCGAAGCCCTCCATCACCCATGCCCCGCCGTCCATCATCCATGCCCCATAATGCTTAACATATGTTGCCCACAACATGTTTCCTAATGCCTGTGGTTTCATGATTGTCATCATCCAACACTCTTCATTACCTATTGTCAACAATCAATCAATATTCATTATTATACGATCACATCATTTATTCATTCTTTCTATAAAGGACACATTGAACTAATATTCATAATGCCCTATGTAATCGTTTTTCTATCTTAAATAAGGGACCTTCCTTCTTTTATATATATATATATATTATGAGAGTAAAGGAAAAAAAAGAAACATATAAAAATTAATTAAACAAGTAAAAATATTCAACAAATTTTATGAATTTGCAGTATATGAATGAGATACATATTGGGATTAAAAAAAAATCAAATATCTCATTGAATTATTACTATACAAAATAATTAAAATATTTTTTTTTTACAATATTAAAAAATAATATCATTTGTTTTCATTCCCACATAAAGAGGCGCATAGAAAAATCTCAATCAATTGGCCTGAAATTCGACACCTGTGCTCTCTCTTTACCCATCAAAGTAGAATGATTATCAGATAATCAATCTCTTTGTGAACCATATACGTGGAAAATTATAGGCGGAAAAGTCATTAAATTATAATATTATTTTTCAGATAGTCCCTCTTTACCTTTTCCGTCTTTTCTTTTTAAAATTAGAATGATGTGATGTACAGATGATGATGCTGAGTGTATACCGACCAATCCAAAGAAAAACATGGCGTGGCCCCTGTTGAGCACAAATTTAACCGTTATATTATTCATGCATGTATAATTATGGCCGGTTATTTCCATCTTCTACATTGCCGAGCATCTTGTGATAGTATTGAAATCATCTCCTCCAGTAGAACTCCTCACATCTCTTTCACGACGTTAGGTTAAATTTGTTTTTAAAGGCTGGGTTTTGTTTAAATAGGAGGGGTAGGGATCCATCGAAGTCGATAGAGGGAGAAGAGTATTAAATTCCTACGAAATTGGTAGCAATTTCATGTGCTGTTCGGCAGGAGATAACATTTCTGTGTCTGTTCTTCCGACTCTTAGATTTTGATTCCAATTAGTGTACTTTCAGCTTTTCTTTGATTTCATTATCCCTCTGTGGGAAATTTGAGATCTTTTGAGAATTTTTTGCTGAAGAGGAATTGTGCATGAGCTTTTTTCCAAGAAAGAAGGTTGTTTTCCAGAAATTTGAGTGGATACTCAGAGTGAATTGTTAGGTAAAATGGAGCAACTTTTTCTTGTTTTTGCTTTTGTTTCTTGCAAAGTTTCTCTTGTTTAGGGTTTCGAGCTTTGCCCTTACTGACCTCCCTCCCACTTTAATTTTTTTTTTAACAGGTTGAAATTTCAAAAATTTACTTTGGAGCCATGTCTTCTACTCTGCAAGCTCGGACTGGACGCCATCTGCAGCGTTACGAGAATCATTTCCGGCTGGTTGCTGGGTATGGATAGTTCCATGGCCCTTTTTCCATGCTTAGAGCCCCTTTAACCGCTTGATTTTTACTTTAGATAGTTCTGGTGTTCCTTGTACATATGAAATTTCTATCTGAGTAAAATTATGAATTGAGTTATCCTTAGAAGGATAAGGTGAAAAGATGACTATTATATACCTATGTAACCTTGGGGATATGATGCAATATTGTCCATTTGGATCAGTAATTAGATTATGCGACAGTGCTAAATCCTTTGGGATCATATAAGAACATGTCAACTTATTATGGAATATAAGTTATCTTCTAGTAGATTCCTTCGTTTAATTTTAGACACAAATTCTACAATGAAATGAATTTTGTATGGAAATTAACAACGCAAGTTTTATGATTTTTCTTGTTTATTTGCGATTGATTCAGGTGCATACCCTACAGAATCAACCGACATGTTGACAACCCTACAGGTGATTTGCTGAGTATGTTGGAGGTTCTTATGATCACTTCACCAAATCAACATGATCTTGTCTTCCCAAAGGTAACTAGCTCCCTGAATCTCCGATTCTTCTTATGTTTTTGGGTTATAAACTCGAATCTTTAAGTGTGAATACTCGATCTGAAGGGTGGATGGGAGAATGATGAGGCCATGGATGAAGCAGCAAGCCGTGAAGCTTTGGAAGAAGCAGGAGTTCGAGGAATCATTCATGTAAGTTCAACCTATCAGTTTCTTCTTATGACTTTTTAAATCAGAAACAAGCAAGGTCTTCATCTAGAAAAGTTATTTAAAAAAGAAAAAATGCGAAGAAATCCATTGATTTGTATGTAATATTCCCTTGGAATTCTTAAATCTTTCAAGTTAAGTGGATTACAAGCAAAAATGTTTGTGTGAGTTGAAGGGGGGAAAAAAGAATCGATAATCCTACTTTTCAGATTAATAAAACTGTTAAATTTTAGAAGCGATTGTATTGATGCATCTCTTTAAGGGGGAATTCCATATGTTCTGCAGTTCAATATAAATTTGGAATAGAACAAAATAACCAAAATCAAGCTAACTATTAGAGAGGAAAACTGATGATGTTGATGATTCCTTAAGAGTTGTTCTTCTCTCCAATAATCCCCCAACCTCGTGTTTCACACTCTAATAATCGCTTTAGTTGGCCATAGAATTTGCCACTATTGAAAGGATAGTTTTGTAGGTGGTTTTATCTAGCAATAATTGCAATTTTCAACATATCCCATCTGCAGAATCTGTTGCATAATTAATCTTTATATCAACATCAGTGTGTTTCTTGTGGATCAATAAAATTATGTATGTTATCATTCATTTTGGTGCACGTATCTATCATGGCCTTAGTGGATTTCAATCATCTATCATAACCTGATCCAGCAAATTGCTGCTTGTTGTTCCATTGGTCAAAAGTGACTTGTTTTTATCTTGATCTTGCTTTTAAAAGTCCTCAGTGTTATCAAGCTCTTGCTTGCAAAAATATACTTTATTTTCCTCAACAAGGCTTGATTTCATATAAAACATGCTGCTTCCTAAGACTTCATTTGGGACGGCTCTTTTACTGCTTCTTGAAGCATCTTTTTAGTATAAAAATTTAAATTTTTGTACTATAAAGCTGCTTCAAGAAGCAGTAAAAAAGCCGTCCCAAATGAAGCCTGAATCATCTCATTTATTTGTGGGGTTAAAGTTTCATGGGCTGAATTTTAGTTTCAGCTCTTCGATACTAGAAAACAAGTTGCTACAGTTAGTGAAAAACTTGAAAATTGGGGAATTAATTGAATCTTATCAAATATTTGCTGCAGGATTCTCTATTGGGTGTTTGGGAATTCAGAAGCAAGAGTAAACAGAACCTCTGCGGCCAAGAGGGTGCTTGCAGAGGTTACATGTTTGCTCTTGAAGTTAACGAGGAGCTCGAGTTTTGGCCAGAGCAATCTACACATGACAGGAAATGGGTATGTGCCTCATCCTTACTATAATGGTAATTTAATTGATGATTATCTGTATAAATTTTTTGAAATATATAGATATTTTTTTCCTTCATTCAAACAGCTAAATGTATGGGAGGCATGGAAGCTCTGCCGATATGATTGGATGAGGGAAGCTCTAAACTCTCTCTCAATACTTATAACGGGAAAGCCAGTGAGATTGGTTGCTGTGCCAGAGATATCCGAGTCCACATCTCTTTTCTGCCTTGTGAAACCTTCTGGAACTGAATGCGTTGATAGTGCTATCAATGCATTTTGTTGATAAATTTTCATGCTGCATTTCACCTTTTCTTTCCTTTTCTTCTCAGCGAAGAAAGTAGAGTTGTATAGTTATTATTGTTTAAGGACAAGCCATGGTTGTACACCTACACTTCGTAGCCGAAAAACTATTATCATGCTTAATGAAAGGGCTTTGACTAACCAGATGCCTTTCGGTGAAACTTTTTTGAATTTCAGTGAAGTCATGAAAAAGAAATGGAGTCCGATCTGGTGTCGCGATTTGTTTTTTTCTTAACATGTTTCTCATGGTTGTAAAAGGCTAAGGGGATGTTTGGTATCGGGTCTGTCCGTCGTTTTTAATAGGATTTAGCATAAATCTAATCAACGCAATCCACGCCGGTATAAATCCGGCAAATCCAGGATTTATGGCAGAAATCCGTCTAAATTCTAATCCCATTCCTACACGGATTTAACGAGTTGCGAAACTTCTTCCCGCGGCACCCGTGTAATATGTTGCCAAACAACTTCTCTGGATTTACAGGATTTAAAATTTGTCATACCAAACACTTTTCAGGATTTATGAGCCTAGGATTTGCTAAATCCGGATTTACAGGATTTAGTAAATCATGCTAAAATTGAATCCAATCCTATACCAAACACCACCTAAAAGCTGTAAAACTGCATATGCAGCGCAGAATGTTTTACGGCTAAATCCTGCTAAAATTGAATCCAATCCTATACCAAACAGCCCCTAAAAGCCGTAAAACTGCATATGCAGCGCAGAATGTTTTACATCTAATTATCCTTCAGTTTCTTTACTTTGGAACCATGCATTGCGTGGATTTATGTTTTTAAGAACAAGCCATTTGTGTTTTTGATGTTTTGGTTAGCTGCAAGGGGTGTTGACCTTAATTTTTGCCAGACTTTGTGACCGAAGGTATACCTCAGGCATTTTAGACCATCAATACCTTCGGTCTGGTTTTTGGTGTTAGATTTGATTTGCTTTCAGAACTCATTTGGTACTTAGAGGCTTTCTACTTGGTTCCTCTTAGAGGCCTTTGTGCAATCAATTAAAATCCCGATCGAATTAGTTCTTTACCCGCCTTTAACCGGACTTGGACTTAGTTCTACCTAATTGGCATTGATTGGAAAGTGAACCTGAATCAGTCCTTAAACTCTCACTACCAAAAAACGAGATCAAACACAGCGGTTATGTAGCGGTTCTACAACCGCTGCAATGAAAAGCGTGGCGGGTATAACCGCCGGGAAAGGTAAAAAAAAAAGTGCTGCGAAAAGCCAATTTTTTGGTAGTGTCTTAGAGGTTAACTTTTGCCTAGACCCACTTTAGGTGATATAGAGACCCTTTTTGAGTTCTTTACAAGATGTCCACATCACTTAACCAATGGCTCCCTAGTAGTTGATGGAGTCTTTGCCATCCCTCAACCTTCTTGGTGAGTTGGTGAGATCATTGGCTAAGGACTCTCAATTCACTAATAACTACTCAGGGTTTATCTTCTCTATCGAGATCGAATTCATTTTCTCTATTGAGATCAAGTTTTTCTTCTCTACCTTGCGAATTCCTTATTGGCCATTGAGCTGACTTCTATCCTAGCCATTAGTGTGATGTTCCAGAATCTAAATTGGAAGAATTATTTATTTATTCTTTAAATAAATAACAATCATAGCTATCTAATATCATCGATCAGTAATAAACAATACAACATATTCTATAATTTAAAATATCAATGTACACATCTATATTCATTCCCAAAAAACTATATACATTATTCAAGATCTACAAAATCATATCATAACTACTCTGTCTTGACTATAAAAGAAAAATAAAAAGAAACAGAATCTGAAGAATCCTGACCAACCTCACACTCCTACTTTTCTGCCCTGACCTGAAATCATTTAACCAAATATAATGAGCCTAAAAAGCCTAACAGGTCACCAAAACTTATAACTGAATTTAAAGCACGATAAAGGAGCAATATGCATGTCAATAATTAAATCATAACAGTAATATTTATATTATCATTGAATCGGTACATAAATAGTAAATCTCGAATACAGTAGCAGTAGAATCTATAAACAATAAAATATTATAGTACGAAAGTCTGTAAAGAAGTAAACAAGTATGAGTGTCAAATCTATAAAGCAATCTTCATATCTGTAATACCTATCAGTACAAAAATCATATAAATTATTAAATTAAAATATCTGCAAAGACTGTCAAAATCAAACTAAAGTAATAAAATCATATAAAAATGTATACATACTATCTAGGTATTCCATATCACGTGCTCAGTATATCACATGCTTAATATCAGTTTAGTGAATCAAAAGTATCAGTTTCTAAATCAGTAACAATAACAATTTAGTGGCAAGAGTAGTGTAAATTCATATAGTAACAATAAATTAGTACAATAATAATGCCTCAAAACATGCATTTAAGTAATCACACTAAATAAGTAAGAAGTTCTAATTATCACATTATTTTTCAGTGTTAATATCAGTGTTAGTAAATTGTTGGCTCAGTAAGTAGAGTCGTGATCACTCTTTTCCCGTCGGCATAATAATAATCAACTTATAACTATCAATCAGTGTATCATGTGAATTAGTAAAGGATAAAACCAAATCATAGTATTTAAAGAAAAGTACATCGGCTTACAATCCCGTAAAGGTCAATCAGTCTCAAACCAACAGGTAAAATAGTTTTTACTTGTTTGTTTCACACATGCACATTATTATCACAATACTATAACAATAATAACGACCAACTATATATTACTCAAGCACATATATACATCTATTTTCAATGTAATGCAGTAAATAATACATAATTGATCTTAATTAAAAAGATGCCAAAATGTCATAATAATAGACAATAAAAAATCATATTAGACAAAAAATGCAAATTTTTAGAAAATTACCAAAATATCAGGAATTATATAAATTAAAATGATATTTTAAAACTTTTATTGACCGCCGGTAAATGCTGATTTTCCTTTAGTGTATTAAACTGCACTATTATTTTTAAACATCAAAATAAATTTCTAGGTAGACAAAATTTGTTATATATTTTAAAATCAGTTGGTAAAAAATCTCAAATAAATACTCAAAATATTCATAATCATGATCTATATAACATATAAAAAGTTAGGCCGTGAAAGTTTTACCAATATAAAAATATTCTTATTTTTAGGTAATAGAAACACAAATTTGATAAAAAAATACCAAAAACAAAAAATCTTTAAAATAAAAAATGAGCTAAAGGTTCCTTACAGCGAGACGAGCAAATATCCCAATTGGCCCGACTGACAAAAATCGCTTTGCGGCCTCCAAATCTTGATTTCATTTTTCTCTCTTCGAATTTTTCTCTCTAAATTTTCCTAAACAATTTCTATTGCTGAAAATGAAAATGAAATAGGCTTTTTAAATACTTAGTGACTTAGGATATTTTATTAAAATAATATTTGTAATAAGCCGTATTTTGACTTTATTAATTTTTTGTGCAGTCATTATCTAAAAATCATAATTCATCTTTTCCATACTATTTTGATCGTAGTATTTTACTTGCATAAAATTTTTCATATTTTTTGGGTCGGTGAAAATTTTTAAGAATTTGTTACCTATCAAAACAAGTGAGGATTTCATGACCGTCAGGTATCCTATTTGCAAACTAATTTCATCCATATTTTTTAAATAACATATTTTATTTTATAAATATTTTTTGTGTGTAATTTTTGAAGTTCTAAAATAATTTATTTGAATTTTATAGAATTATTTAAATTAAACATTATGTTTATATTATATTATTATTTTATTATAATATCTAAAAGTATTATATGTGGTTAAATAATTATAGGTCAGAGTAGGGGGAGGAGGATTGTGATGCTAGTCAGGATTCTTCAGATTCTATTTCTTTTAGTTATTTTTTGTACTCATAATAGAATAGTTGTGATATGATTGTGTATATCCTAAGTAATGTATATAATTTTTGGGAATGAATATAGATGTTTACATTAATGTTTTAAATTATAGATTATATTTAGTTGTTTATTATTGATAGATGATATTAGATAGCTCTATTTGTTGTTCATTAAAAGATAAATGAATAAATCTTTTAATTTGTTATTACGATTGGTTAAGATTATTAAGGTTCTATTTCTTTTTGTTTTTCTTTTGTACTCAGGACAGAGTAGTTATGATATAACTGTATAAATCCTGAGTAGTGTATATAATTTTTTTGGGAATTAATATAGATATGCACATTGATATTTTAAATTATAGAATATGTTGTACTGTTTATTACTGATAGATGATATTAGATAGATCTGATTGTTATTTATTTAAAGAATAAATAAATAATTATTCCAATTTAAATTCTGAGACATTACAATTGGTATCAAAGTATACTTATTGGAAGAATTGATTGTTATTAGAGATGTAGGAATTGATTGAGAGTTGAATATAATGGATAGTTTAAGATGCATTAATTTGCATGCATAATTAAATATAGTAATAAGAACTACATTACTAAGAGGATTAACACATGTCGATCTATCCCCTTTCATAGAATTGATGGTATTAACTTCATCTACTAGAGCCTTATATATGGTTACCGAGTTAATCTTTCATGACCTTAATTACTCGAGGTTTATATGGTGTGATGTTTCTATTCCATCTTCTCCAATTATAGGCAATACTACTTCAACTATGTGCATTGCTTTAACTATAACTAGCTCATTTCTTAAACCCTTTATTGGTGCTTTCCCTAGTTTCTTCATAAGGAAATGAACTCCTTTAGTCTGCTTGCTTTAATCATCTCTTCCATAGGAATCATTGAAACTTGTATTCCTCGATTTCATGCATGTGGTCTTTATGAAATGAACAATACATGGAGGCATCCCTCACATGGGACAATGCTCTCATGGTGGTTAAAATACTCATCATTTTGTGTGGATTCCATAACTTAACCATTGGTACTTGCACCTAGCTAATCATTAGGTTTTAGTGAGTTAGAGGCAACTTCTCCTTAAGATATTTTCTATTAGGGAGTTGGGCCTTTTCACTTCTCATAACTGGCATGCCTTTAGTCCTCAACAACCTAGTAGGAAGTTGGATGCTGGTTGGGTTAATTCTATTAGAAATATCTTATCCTCTCAATTTTATGAACCCACATATGGCTTATATCATAGTGAGACTCACAAGTGGT